GGCTGGGGTTCACCTGTTTTAGAGTCCAACAAAGTCTCAAAGGATGTATGTTCTCTATCCTAACATATAAAGGCAGAATGAAACTTTTTATTCAGAATTCCTTTCATCTACCTCTTTTTTTCTTTTTTTCCAGTTCTAATGTGATCATATTTAAGATTTTTCTCAACACCATATGATTTAAATATGCACTTTTGCAGCAATATTTTCAAAAAAAACTTCTGCCCTATTTAATGATTTCTGCACAGACTAGCAGTTGGCAATTTCCTAGTGAAATCAGCTGCCTATATAATTGTATCATGCAAGACAGATTGACATTCTTTGGCTTGTGTCTATGTTTATAATGATGAAGTGCAAAGGTCAGGAAGTGGCTCATCTCCCAAACAGCAGTGCATTCACTCTTCTAAGTGGTAATAATCAATTTGTAATCAGAAATATAAAGAGTTACAACAAAAGTGTGTGTGTGTGTGTGTGTGTGTGTGTGTGTGTGTGTGTATAAGCACACAAACACACACACCAGATTGCAAACACTAATGTAGGCAATCGTTCTTTACTAAACTAAAATATCTGTAAGAATGAATCATTTTTAAAAGATTTATTTTTCTCTAGTTTTTTTTAAATAGTGTGGAATGCAATAATTTGAGCAACATAGTATTTTGTCAGATAGGGCTGTGTCTCCACTTGCCATTAATCCCAAACCCAGAGCAGATCCAGATAATTTGGGATAGTTTTTAATTCACTTCAGGCAAGTAAAGGGCTCTACTTTGCCTTCTGATACAGGGCGAATTCTCCAGGAAAATCCATCTCCAGTATATTGCTCAGGAGCTGTATTGTAAGTCAAAAAGAAAAAAAGAAAAGAAAAGCCTTGCTACTTTATCTTATAAAATGCCTTGGTTAGGGAAGGGAGTACTGGATTCAATGACAGTGCTGCCCTTCCCATCGCTTGTGTTGCAGCCTGCCACAATCCTAAAAGGGGGGGATAATGGGGGAAAGGGGGCCTGTTGTAAAGAGGGGAAGTGGGGGAGACCAGTGCAGACACGAAGCAGAGGTGTGATCCAGCCACTTTATCCGGCCATGATAGTATATCAACAAGGTTTGTTAGGGTATTAGGAGTGAAATTTTCTCAGTAAGATTGGAGCCCTAACCTGGTGTTTAGCGACTCATTCATTGTGTGCTGATGGTAAATGTTTCCAAGCAACTAAGTATTGGACTTAGTTCAATACTAGAATCAAGGATTTTCTTGATTTCAAAGTGTTGTTCACCTTCAATCATGATGGGAACAGGTGGTGTAGATGCAGGTGGTCTGAGGGATGAGATTACTTCTCGTTTGAGTAAACTGATATGGAATACTGGGTGGATCTGCCTAAGTGTCTTTGGAAGAAGTAGTTCAACTGCTACTGGATTGATGATTCTAGTGATGGGGAAAGGTCCAATGAACTTTGGCCCTAGTTTCTTTGATGGTTGTAATGATTTCAAGAATTTTGTAGATAAGTATACTCTGTCTCCAATATGAAAAGGTTTGGGTTCCATCCTTTTCTTGTCAGCTTGAATCTTAAAAGCTTCTCTAGCTTCCTGTAAGGTTAATCTAACCACTGGCCCCGTGTTTTGCAAATTATCCATCCACTCCTTAAGTGAGGGGATGGTGGGTTCTTCTGTGGGTAGTTCAGGCATGGGGCTGAAATCCTGGCCTGTTGCTACTCTAAAAGGGGTAAAACCAGTGCTTGAATGGACAGCATTATTAAACGCAACTTCAGCAAAAGGCAAAAGTTCGGTCCAGTTATCCTGTTGAAAATTAATGAAACATCTTAAATATTGTTCTAGCACCGAGTTCAAAATGTCAGAATTACCATTAGTACAAGGATGAAAGGATGTGCTCAACCCGTGGCCAGTACCAAGTAAACCCCAAAACGCCCTCCAAAAGTTGGAGGTGAATTGAGCCCCTCTGTCGGAGATGATCCTTCATGGAGCACCATGAAGTTGATAAATGTGTATTAGGAATAATTTGGCTAAACTTTTAGCAGTTGGGATCTTTTGGCAGGGTATAAAATGTGCCTGTTTTGAAAATAGTTCGGTCACAACCCAAATAACAGTATTTCCCTCACTGTTTGGCAATTCCACAATGAAATCCATAGCGATCTCTCTCCAAGACACTGAAGGTTCAGCTACCTTCTGCAATAGACCTGGGGATTTTCCCTGGCGTCTTTTTGCTGCTGCACAAATGGGGCAGTTAGCTACATAGCTTTCTATGTCCTTTTTTAGTGATGGCCACCAAAATTGTCTTTTAATCAGGTGTAAAGTTTTCACAAACCCAAAATGTCCAGCTAACTTGGAGTCATGGCACTGTACCATTAAGCTTTGGCTTGCAGGGACATACAACTTCCCCCCCACCCAAGCCAAGTCTTCTTTCATCAGACAGCTGAATTTGTTGTTCAAAAACCATTCATCAGTGGCCAATGCTTGTTTAAAAGTTTGGATGGTGTCATTGTCCGTCAATGTTTCTTGTTTTTCCTGGGATCTGGTGACTACTTTAGCGGCTAGTTGATTGTTTTGTACTATAGGTTTGATTATGTCTGACTTTGCACTATTGTATTGCGGTTTTCTGGATAGCGCATCCGCCAGAAAGTTTTTTTCCCCCCCGGGAGGTATTTTAGAGTAAAACCAAACCGTTTAAAGTACTGAGCCCATCGTACTTGTTTTGGGGAGAGTTTCCTTGGGGTCTTTAGGGCTTCTAGATTTTTATGATCAGTCCAGACTTCAAAAGGGGTCTTACTGCCTTCTAGGAAGTGCCGCCAGGTTAACAATGCCCAACGAACTGCATAAGCCTCTTTCTCCCAAATAGCCCACCTTTGCTCAGTCTCATTCAACTTTTTGGATGTGTAAACGCAGGGTTGTAGTTGGTCTTGCTCATTCTTCTGAAGCAGGACCGCTCCTATTGCCACATTGCTGGCATCTGCTTGTATGACAAATGGTTTCTTCGTGTCTGGGTGTTTTAGAATTGGTTTTGCTGAGAACAGCCGTTTAAGTTTTTCAAATGCTGCCTGGCATTCCATAGTCCAGTTCAATGGTTGCTTTGGTTTAGGGTTGTCCTCCCCCTTTGTTTTTAAGAGCTTGGTGATGGGGAGGGCAATCTGAGTGAACGCAGGGATAAACTGGCGGTAAAAGTTGGCAAACCCCAGGAAGCTCTGTAACTGTTTACGTGTGCGCAGAGGGTCCCAATCAAGTACAGCCTGCACTTTTAGAGGATCCATCTCAACCCCATGGTGCGAAATGCGGTATCCCAAATAGTCAATCTTCTCTTGGTGGAATTCACATTTGGAAAGTTTGGCATAAAGTTTGGCAGCGTGGAGTTTGTTTAAAACTGCCCTGACTAGTTTTACATGTTCTGCTTTGGTCTCGGTATAGATTAAAATGTCATCCAAATAGACCAGAATCCCCTTATATAAATGCTGATGCAGCACTTCATTTATTAACTGCATAAACACTGCAGGAGCTCCTTGCAACCCAAAGGGGAGTACCTTGAATTGGTAGCAGCCGAGGGGGGTATTAAATGCTGTTTTCCACTCATCCCCTTCCTTAATTCTGACATGGTAGTAAGCCTCCCTTAAGTCCAGCTTTGAAATTTTTTCCCCTTTAGCAAGGTGTGCTAACATATCTTTCATAAGGGGGAGAGGATACATGTTCTGCACACTGACCGCATTAAGGATATGAAAATCAACACATAGGCATTTTGAGCCATCTTTTTTCTCTCTAAAGAGCACAGGAGCTGCAATTTTTGGTCAGGCTGGCTGAATGAAACCCCTTGCTAGGTTTTTCTCAATGAATGTTCTCAGCTCTTCCAACTCTCTCGGTGACATGCTGTACATCTTGGGTTTAGGGAGTTTCACGCCGGGTAAGATTTCTATTGTACAGTCAGTGGCGTGGTGGTGGGGAGCTCATCTGCACAAGCTGCACTGGCTCCTGGTGGTCTTCCGGGTGTGCTTCAAGGTTTTGGTCACCACCTTTAGAGCGCTCCATGGCTTAGGACCAGGATACTTATGAGACTGCTTTCTGCCACCAGTAGCCTCTCACCGACCAGTACGCTCCCATAGATAGGAGCTCCTCAGGGTGCCGTCGGCCATACAGTGTCGACTGGCGGCCCCCAGGGGAAGAGCCTTCTCTGTGGGGGCACCTGCCGTCTGGAATGAGCTCCCCCCGAAATACGGAGGATCCCAGATTTACGCACTTTCTGCTGCGCCATCAAAACATTTTTATTCCAGCAGGCTGGGCTGGCTTGACTCTCCCTTTTTAATTTGCTTTTAAGTTTTATACAAATTGGGTGTTTTTAAATTCGTTTTTTGGGCCAAAATTATTTAATGTACTTTTAATTGGTTTTTAACTTTTGTATGATGTATTTTTATCTTGTGGCTGTTCACCGCCCTGAGTCCTTCGGGAGTAGGGCGGTATACAAATTGAATAAGATAAATAAAATAAAAATAAATCTGAGGTTTTTAGCTAAAAACCTCAGCTAAATCCTTGTATTCTATGGGTATGCCCTCAGTTGGTGTGACATGACCAGGCATGGCTGTTTCTCGATTCTCTGCCCCCTCAAGTCCTTTATGTGGATACTCAGCAAAAGTTACCTTCTTCTGAAATTTTATGATGCCTTGTTTCCAATTGATTTGTGGGTTCCATTTTTTTAGCCACGCAAGGCCCAGAACCAACAGCCATTCCATGCCAGGTGCCACTATAAATGTAAGCCTTTCCTCGTGGCTTCCGATGCCTATATGTAGAGGCTCGGTGGCCAGAGAAGCTGGCTCCCCTCCTGCTATTGACCCATCTAGTTGGCAGAAAGCAATGCGGGTTTTCAGCTTTCTTACATTAATCCCTAACTTCCCTACTAAGGTTGGGCTGATCAAACAACGGGTGCACCCTGAATCCACTAGGGTGGGGATACTTATCTCCCTGTCCTGGTTTGGGATAAATAGTCTTAAGGGGAGGGTAAGCGGTTTAATTGGTTTGCTTACCAATGGCTCATCATCTGGATCGCTTCCGAATGAGTGTGATTCCTCCTGTTCAGATGCCAGGGTTTCCTCCCCAAAGAGGGGAGGGGATGGGGCTTCTACCGTCTCCCTGCTCCTCAGAGCAGTCTCCTTCCCACGCTGATCCAGTTTTGCAGGATCCTCCCCTGGTGGGTGGTTCCGGGCGGGTGTTTGTGAACAACACTCTGCAGCTCGGTGCCCTTCTTTTCCACACTTGAAACAGGCTGAAGATCTCGGGGAGAATGTGGTTTGTGGTTTGAGGGGCTCTTGCTTCCATTGGGGTGAGGATTTCTTCCATGCTCGCCCCACTCGATACTGGTTTCTGGCCATATTGATCTCAGCTTCTTCGGCAGTGACATACCATTCATGTAGGTCATTCGGTGCCCCTTGGGCCATGCAGGCATTGTATAGATCATCACTCAGCCCGTCCTTGAAACAGCTCACCAAAATATCTTCCGGCCAGTGCACACGACACGCGAGGTCCTGGAACTCTTCAGTATACTCTGCTACTGGCCGTCGCCCCTGCTTCACCACCTTAATGCGGTCGCGTGCTTTGCAATCTGCCAGTGGGTTCTCGAACCGACGTCGTAGGGCCATCATGAAACGGTCAAAATCCTGCAGTTCTGGTGTGTTGGCATTATGTAGGGTCACCATCCATCTGGCTGCGGCACCCTCTAGGGCTAGGGTCACAACTCGCAGTCGGGAGCCTTGGGTTTGGAAATCACGCCCATACTCTTGCATGTAGGTGAGCACATGTGCCACAAAGAATCCTAATTGTTGCAGATTCCCATCAAACTTCACCCCAAGGCGGGGAGTTTCTCTTTCCAGTTGAGGAGCCCAGGGTTGGTTGGGAATAGGCGCCGGTGTGCGTGCTGCCTAGGGGAGGAGGGTTTGCTGGGTCTTCTCCCACTGCTGCTGCACCATCTGCTCGATAGGCAAGCTCCCGGAGGGGGGTGCCTCCCCTGGCATCATCCATGACTGCTGCCCTTTCAGTGCTCTTTGGTTGTTGTCCTGGCTCCCTTCAGATGTTGAGATTTTCCAAAGTTTCCATCACCAATTGGGTTATATGCCTCTTCAGATAGTCCTCCCTCAGGGGTGCTTCGGTCAGTCCCCCCTGGTCAGTAAGGGCTTCTAGTTCCAGTTTCCACCCCGGTTTTCGGTTGCCACGGTTGAGGGTGACTCCTCTGGTTCTCTCATCCCAGCCATCTTTCTTCCCGATGCCAATCAACCAGCGGAGCTTTTCCGGATTCTCCAGGGTTACCTCATCCTCTCCGATGGGTTGCACGAAACAGGCATCCAACTGGGTGGCGGTTACTGTCTCTCCCCAGCAATCGGTTTCTCCCAGCTCTCTGCTTTGTTCAGACATGGTTTGCAAGGTCCCCTCAGTAGAGCAAAGATTGCTTCTCTGGGTTGACCGTTTTGCAGATTGTGCTTTCTGTAAGGATCGCCTCTCCTTCCAACTTAAGAAAGTACGAACTCTTGAAACGTAGTTGTTCAAAAGGATTCTTTTATTAAGCAGAAGTGAAAGCCATCCAGCTAAAGCACAATCTGAATACCCTTAGGCAAAGCAGTAGGATTAAAGTGGTAGAGACCCCTCCCTTTAAGTCAGAATGCAGATTTTAGCCAATACACAAGTGTGAAGAAGTTTTCTTTACTATTTCCTTTGAGAACCCGAACAACATGCATTCCCACCACTTCCCTTTAAAGTGAGACAACCCACATGGCTATCGTATAAATTCCTGCAGGTAAAGGGAATCTCAGGCTTCCTTGGCACCAGGATATCGGTTGTAAAATATCTGATGACACAGGCCATGCTAGTAAATCGAATCCAAGTCCCCCCTTCCTCCACTTGAATGGCAGTATCACTTTTAGGGATCTGACACTACTTCAGCTTCAACCTCAATAATACACGGGCAAACAATAGATACAAACTCAAGGTAAACCGCTTCAAACTCGATTGCAGAAAATACGACTTCAGCAACAGAGTGGTCAACGCCTGGAATGCTCTACCTGGCTCTGTTGTTACATCCTGAAACCCCCACAGCTTCAACCTTAAACTGTCTACCGTGGACCTCACCCCATTCCTAAGAGGTCCGTAAAGGGGGCGTGCATAAGTGCACAAGCCTGCCTACCATCCTTGTCTTACTGTCCCCATTTATCTGTACTTACTTCCTTCGTTTATGTTTATGTTCATACCTATATCTGCTATCTTGTACATGTTTGACAAACTAAATAAAAAAAATTATTCAGCATCTGGGGCAGGAGAAAGAGTACAGTGATAGTTGGTGGGGCATTCTCCCCTTATTTCCTTGCCTTTCTGAAGTCCGTTATGGCATAAAGGTTTACTATCTCCATAGTGTGCCACTTTTTTCCGTTGCTACAAAAACTGGGATCAGAAATAATGAACATAAGTTGTAGGTAACTAGATTTCATTTAAATATACGGGAAAAAAATCCTGATGGTAAAATTCATAACAAAATGGAACAATCTACTGCAGAAGTTGTAGGCTTTTCATTTTTGGAGTTTTTAAGGAGATAGAGGACAACCTCTCAAGAATGATAGAATTGGTTTTCTTGAACATTACAGAGGGTTGGACTAGGGACCCACGCGCCCCTTTCAACTCTCCAATTCTAAGATTCTGTGTTCTTCTTATAATTATTACTTGATGAACAATTATCCAGTAACAATATATAAAAAGAAAAGAATATGCAACACTAACAGATGTTAACGTTCCTTTCTCACAAACACACACACACATATAGACACGCATATATATGTATAAATTTTATTTTAGTATTAGATCAGTATTTTATGCTAATCAAGGCCATAAAAGCACCTTTAAGCTTCCACAAAATTCTTAGCTTTTTAAAATGTGTAATAAAAACAAAACTGACAATTGCAAGATTTCACTAACACAAAGAAAGTGAGGGAAAATAATATACATTCCTCTATTCATTTGCTTAGAAAGCCAGCTTGGTGCAGTGGTTAGTTTAAAAACCAGGAGATTGTGAGTTTTAATCCTGCCTTATGTACTAAACCAGCTGGGTGATCTTGGACCAGTCATTCTCAGGCAGCTCAAGGAAGAAAGTAGAAAGCAAACAAATCCATTCTGAGATCTTATCAAGGAAAATGCAGGGACTAGGCAGGAATCAGATCCTGACTCAAAGGTATATTGAATATTAAGGATATCTTTGTTTTTGTTTAATAAAGGAGAATATGTGTAACTCAGGGTTGACATAAGGGGTCCTTGGTGCGCTCTGAGCTTGCCTGTTTTCTTGCAGATGTTTCGTTACCCAAACTAGGCACAGTGCTCCACTGATGATGTTACCTGCTGTAGTTTGGGTAATGAAATGTCTGCAAGAAAGCAAGAAAGCTTGTTTCCTCATCAGTTCAAGAAGTGTGTCTTGAATAGTTTCAGATTGGAAAACACCCCATTTTTACTACCAGAAAAAAAAATCCCTTCTGAAACTTTTCAGAATTGAAATTATATAATCATTTTCTCCTGCTTCTGCGTTTATTATAAGAGTTTATTATAAGGGTGATGGTGGAAAAGTGATACAAGCATTGTGTTTCTATGCATCCAAGCACAGAGATACTGTTATTTAATGCCTAGGCCCTAGAGCCTTAGGACATAGAGCTGAAATCTAATGCTTACATGTTTCTACAACAATGCACTAAACTCAGAAAACATAATGAAAATAACATTTCATCAAGAATAAGCACACACACACATAATCCCCTATGCTCTTTTGATTTTAGGCATAGACTGATCTTGTGTAAAAACATGGTTTAAATCATAAAGTGCTTCTGAATCACAATATTTTTGCAGGAGAGTAAGTACCTCTGAAATCTGTTGTACTGAAATTAAGATGACTTCAACTTCCTTCACTTTGGCTAGATTATGCCTCGTAAGGAGGAAAGGAACAGAGATCTTTAATCTACCACAGGGCAGTCCACTTCCAAAGCAGCTAGAAGCCAGCTAAACTGATATTGGGATAATTGAAGCAGGACTGCAACTCAGCCTCATTTAAGGATTAGCATTGCTCAAGAGCATATGGAGCTAAAATGTTAGAAACTAGATAGGACTGTTGTCAGCCTGGCCGAACCTTGTAGCTGTATTTAGAGTACAGCTTTGAACTAGATAGGCTTTAAATGTACTCCAATCCTTCTCTTCTCACTCTTATGCATCCTTTGCTGGCACACCTTGATCAGCATGCAATTTACTAACTACTGTAGAAAGTGTATCTAATTTATCTGCTCAATTGTCTTCTGAAGTTGATGCACTTTTCTATCCTCTATGGGTAAACAGCTAAAAGAAATTCTCATTTATCGGTAGAAGAGAATATTTGTAGCTCAGGATTGAACTGCTTTCAAAGACCATAATGCAACACCTATAATCTATAGCACTCAAATACAATCCAAAGTATAGACCTGGTATGTAGATGACACCTTTGTCATAATAAAAAAGGATCAACAGGAGAAGACACATGAAATATCAACATCTTTAAAGAAATAAAATTCACAAGGGAAAAGGAAAAAAAACACCATGGTACCCTTCCTGGATATCCTCATCAGGAGAGGAAGTGATGGCAAATTAGAAACACAAGTCCATTATAAAATTACCCACACCAATCAAGTGCACCACTATCAAAGTAACAATCCAGCCTCCCACAAGACAAGTTGTATGAGAACCCAATATAGCAAAACCAATAAAAGCTGTGAAAAGGATAACACAGCCATACATCAAAAACATCCCAGAAAAATCACCAACAGACTATTACAACCAAATGGAATCAGTGTAGCATATAAACCAACTAAAGCCCTCCAAAACATCCTAACTAAAGCAAAAAAACCCTGCAGCCCCAGAATAAAAAACAGGAGTCTCTACAAAAGAAGATATAATGAAAACTCCTTAATTTCATAGCACATGAACTGACTTAATCTTAGTTTCAAATGGGAAACTGTGAGCATTCTAGACCAAGCCATGTCTAAAAATTCTAGAGAATTCCTGGATACCTGGCACTCAGATAAATCAGCATGAACAAGCTTGTAAAGATAAACAATATTTACACGCCATTCAAAACAGGCAATCAAAAAGACAAAAACAAAGCAAAAAGACCAAAACACCTCCTCATCAGCAATCAATACTCAGATGAACAGAGATTAACACCAAGATTAACACTACACTAACTGTCAAGAAGTAAACGGTACCCCAATCAAGGAATTACAAACAAATATAAACAAGTCTAATCAAGGATCACTCCCTTCCACACTGACAGGTAACACCCTAGCCTAGTATATGAAGTAAGAGCAAACCCCACTCTCTTCTAGCACTGATAATGTTACTTACTTTGGTAATGAGACATCTGCAAAAAAAAAAAAAAAACCAACAACAACAACCAAGGTCAGAGAGTACCAAGCACCCCACATTTCTCATGTTACTGTTTTACTTAATATTTGTTTTACTTTACACTTATTTTATTGTCTCACTTATTGTTCAACTATTTGCATGTCCCAATAACTTGCTTAATTTGATGAAAAATTATCATTACAAATAATGCAGATATTAGGAACTATTTGAACACAAGACATTTGTTTTTAATTCTTCACTGATTCTACACTGTGATAACAGATTACAAGTTTCTTCTTGAGTCTCCCCATCATTTTATGAACACTGGATTTCAATGATGAATTCCAAATTCTTCTTACCACTAGATATGAAATAATAGCTGTATTGTGATCTATTTATCTTGGGTCACATATCAAAAGATAAAATTAACAAGAAAAAGGTTTACATTTGCAGTTTCTCTTTTATCTTTGGAAGCTCCTTTGCCTTTATTGTTTCATTATATACACTTTTTTCTTAGGGTGGGCTGTAGGGATCCATTGGGATTGCTGCTATTGTACCAACCTCCCTGCTATGTAGTAGACTCCCTGCCTGAACTCCTAGACCGCACAACAGGGTTGGTGATGGAGTTTCCCAGGCTTATGGTTCAGGAGAACCTCAATCTGCCTTCCCAGAGAGGGGGGTTGGAATTAACTTGAGAGTTGGCTTAGAAGCCAAGACTTCTGTGGGCCTGGCCCAAGTCATCAGGGCCTGACTAGAACACTAGATTTGGTGTTCTTGTCAAAGTGCTGCCTTTGTAATCTGGAACTGACAGACCTATCTCTGGTCTGCTTTTCATGGTCAGATGACAAACTAGTGGATATGAGTTTCTCTAGGACAACACTGCTTCCCAGGCAGGCAGGACATATTAGCAATAGCACTTAGATTTATATACTACTTCACAGTGCTTTACAGCCCTCTGTAAGGGGTTCACAGAGTCAGCATATTGCCCACAACAATCTGGGTCCTCATTTTACCGACCTTGGAAGGATGGAAGGCTGAGTCAAACTTCAGCCGGTGAGACTCAAACTCCTCCAATACTGCATTCTAACCACTGCACCACTATGATTCTTAGATCAGTCCACCCCCATTAATTCATGGCACTGATAAGTTTCAGGGGGAACTAGGGTTAAAACTGAGGATCTGCTGTGTAATCTT